CTGAGAAATATATTTCTCAGAATACTGCTTCCCTTTATGTAGCCTTTGTTGATCTTAAGGCAGCGTTTGACTCTATTCCTCAGATTAAACTATGGAACAAGCTGTATAATACTACCATCGATCGCCGACTGTTGTTTCTTATTTGTGCATTACGTGAAGAAACAGCACTTAGAGTAAGATACACCTCTCAAGGACACCTGACAGCACCTGTTCTAACTACCAAGGGCATAAAACAAGGCTGCATATTGGCACCTCTCTTATTTATTTAAAATACGTGATTGATAGGCTGAAGAACCCAAACTTCCATCCCTCCAAACTAGCAAAGAGACATATTTCTATACTGCTATACGTGGATGATGCAGTAATCCTCTCGAGGACACCCACTGGACTCAAGAGAGCTTTGAACACCTTTGCACATAATTGTAAGCAGCTGGAAATCAACTACTCTAAAACTAAAATAATGGCATTTGCAAATCAGCTCCAAAAGCGCTCCTGGTCTATTAATAACCATGCCATTGAACAAGTGCAATGTTTTTGATACCTGGGGGTAATCTTCCAGGCTAATGGAAATAAAAAGGCCCATGCCATCTATGCTTCACAAAATGCACACAGGAGTGCAGCAGCTACTTTAAGATTTCATCATTCCAGAGGTGGTCAATATATATCAGCAGCCACTAAGTTCTTTGAGGCCAAGCCCCTAGCTCAATTATTATATGGTGAACAACTTGGACTATGCCCCCCAACTTTGCACAACTGGAACTTGTTCAATCGACGTTTTTAAGAGCAATTTTCCAAGTTCCTTGCTGTGTCCCCAGTGCTTTACTACGCATGGAGGCTGGAATGTTGAGAGTGGAGACTTGAATAGGGCAAGCTGTGTTACACTACTGACTGAAGCTGACACTTTTCCCTATAGGCTTAGTGCCACTGACATTAGAGGACAGATTTCAAAGTGGGTGGAAACAAGCAGTTTATAACAAGCTCTCTGCTAGGACTTTCTCCCACTTACTTACTATCTCTGGGCTATGAGCAAGCAAGGGCCACATTTAGCAATGTTGTTTGACATAGACCATCAAACAGATGCTGGTAATACCACTCAGCTTCCCATGGCAAATAGACTCTGGCATCAGCTATGTATCTCACACAGCATCCCAAATCAGAGACGGGCCTTTACCTTAGCCCAATGTAATGCTCTCCCTTCAGCACTTCTGGCTGAAAGATACAAAAAGACACCATATTCATCTGAGTTCCCTGTGACTCAGGAACAGGTTGAAACTATCAAACATGTTCTTCTGTCTTGTCAGTTATACAGAACCTCAAAATGCTCTAATTACCCCACTTCTGACCAGCAAAACAGGATTCACCAATCAACAGTATAAGCAATTTCTTCTTTCCAACATCAACCCTGAAGTAACACTCAAGACTGCCAGGTTTTGCGTGGCGGTATGCAAAATCAGGCAAAGAATAATTAAGAACAACTGAACCTGCCTGAGTATGTGGAGAGCCAGAAATGGTTCAGGCTCAGCATTAACCATTGGCCACTTTAACTTCTTTTTTTTTATGCTTTGGTGTATACGTGCCATGTTAGCTACTGTACTATATTCTTCTCAGGTTTGACAGGGGTCTGTAAGAGAAATCTATAATCCTCAAATCCCTTTTGGATAGCTTTATTGTTTTATCTACCAATATTTTTTGTATTTGCATTTTATATTGCTATTTTAAAGTTTATACTACTAATTTTAATCTCTTTTCTTTTTTGTTGCACATCTGTAGTCTGAGCAAGCGCCTTAGCATTTTTAAAATTTAATATTGTCTTTTAGCTAAAATTCTTTTACCTTTCCTACTTACCCTGATATTGTCAATTTAGTTTTGGATATTTGAACACCAACTCCCTTGTGCTGGTTAATGACCACAATAAAGTCTCTTCTCTTCTCTTCTCTTCTCTTCTCTTCTCTTCTCTTCTCTTCTCTTCTCTTCTCTTCTCTTC